GTAAGAAGTGAAACTTTAAATTTAAATGGGTTTTTAAAAACTTTTTTTAAAAAAATGATTTACCCAAAAGGTTATTATAACTCTTGGAGCAATTTTGTTTTTAAATCAGGCTTGTAGGAACAGCAGTTGGCCTTTGGGGAGGGCTAGGGAGAAACTTTGAGTGTGGGCCCAGGGTTGCATTTCCCATGCATGTATATGTGCACGTGTGCATACACACACACACACACACAAACACAACACAAACACACAAACACACACACACTCTTAAGCAGACACATGGAAGGCAGCCATCAAAGGCACTTTCTAAGTATCACCATTTGCCTCCAGAAGGGAAGCTGAATCCCCCTGACAAAGAGGCAGAACTCCTCTTTTTCACACCTTTAGCTATTGTTCCTCATTATCACCACCATCATCTTAGAACTGGAACAAACCAGCTCTGGATCATTGAGTGCAGCCCCTGACAAGGCGGCACAGCAGGGAAATGAACTCTGAATGTCTGGCCTCACAGTCAGAGACTTAAGCCCCTCAGCTATCCAGCAGTTTTAATCTTAGAATGTTAGAACTGGAAGGGACCCTGTGGATCATCAAGTCCATCCCCTGTCAAGAAGGCCGAGGGCGGAACTGAACTCACAACCTCAGCAGCCAGAGACCTCAACCACTGAGCAATCCAGCCAGCTAAATTACTGAACCCTAATTTGGGTGTTTCACACCATCATAATCACCTTAGAATTGCAGAGTTGGAAGGGACCCTATCCTGGAGTGCAGGCCATCCAGGAGGCAGAGTGGAGCAATGGAACTTCCAACCGCTGACTCCACAGCCAGAGACCTCAACTGCTGAGCTATCCCTCTTTCTTGAAGGAAAGAGATCTTGGGAAAGTTTTTTAAAAATCCACAGAAATTCCCAGAAACAGGCTCTGTGGGTGGATTCTGGGAGTTGTAGTCCAAAAATTAACTTTTTTCAATTGGTCTACTTTCTTGGTTACTTTCTCCTCTGGGCAGTTGTAGTCCAAAAAATAACTTTTTACAATTGGGCTTTTCATCTACTTTCTTGGTTACTTTCTCCTCTGGGCTGGATTTTAGGATAGAAAGGTCATCATTGCTGAAACCTTCCATTGTTTCCATGCAAAATACAGCCCATGTTAAAAGTGCCAATAATAAATCAAGAGGGGAGTAATTTTCCTACAATGGGCATGCAGTAATGGAGGAAAATTATGTAGGTGCATTAGTCCTTTCTGTGTGTGTTCGAGCATGCACATACTGCCACCTGGTGTATATGTGTGAGCAACCGCTCGTGTGACTTACCAAACAGGTCCTCATCTCTGCATTGGAAATGATACAACAGCAGCAACAACAATAAAAATAAAAGGAGTGGGGAATGTTTTGTCTGCTCTAGGCAGATCCTCCCACCTACTCCATGGTTTCCAGGATAGCCATAAGAGTGTCATTTACCCAGCAGTGCTGGTAATCGGGGCCAACAGATATGTCCATAAGGGTTATGGGAGTACATGGGATTGTGTTGTGAGAGAAAGCCAAAAATAGCAAACAAAAACAAAAAACAGTATTGGGCTATACCTAGGGTCAAATCCTCATTTTGTCATGAAGACTCCTGAGTGGCCTTGGGCTACTGACTTTTTCTTACCCCAGCCTGTTATAAAGGACTGTTATAAAGATTAAAAAACGGAAAGAGGAACACCACATAGGCCACACTGAGGCCCTTAGATGAAAAGATGGATATAAATATAGAAAATAGTTTAAAAACCTAAAGAACAAATTGGTGACCTTAAATTATTAAGAGCTTCCTGCTGATCTCCAACCACAAAGAGACGTTATTGCCTTCTTGTCTGCTTTGAATAGCTGTTATGTTTCAGGTACATCGAGGGCACCTCAGCGTAGGAGTTGTGGCCTAGATAGCAGGAATCATTTTGTGCACCCTTGTTTACCTGGTTGAACCTAAATACACTCCTTGTGTATGCTACACATAGAGTACTAAGGTTCTTGTTGTTCGAAGTAATGCTGAGAAAAAGTGAGGTTCGCCTGAGAACTGAATGCAGTTTTTTTTCTCTGGAAAGTGTTTTTTCTACCCCGGCCGAATAGGCTCACTTCAGGAAAATATTTGCAAGCCAGAGGAAGCCACTGGGCTCATCATCCAAAATCAAGAAGAGGGTTTGAGCTCTGGCACTACCACTGTCCGAAAGGGATAGGTGTAGTTTAGAATAGCCATTTTTCCACTGCGGAGGTCTTTCCCAGAGCAGATCATATCAGCCACTGACTTGACATAAGGTTGATTCCTATACTCCAAGACAGGGCTCGTATTTAGTGCATTCGCAATAGAGGCAGTGACTATGCAAGACAATTTTATTCAGACTGGCCTTCCTGGTTGAGCAGTAGGGAGAAGCCACTTAAGGCAACAGTGCCTTATGCCTAGTAAAGAAATTGATGGATCGAGCACTGTTACATCCTCTTCCTTCTGTCTTTGCCTTTTTCAGTACCTCTACCCTGTAGCCAGTTCAGCATGTACCCACTGAATCCCCAAGACTCTTCTTCAATCCTGTCTTCCTTCTTTTTAAAACCCTCTTATCTTCCTGCTGTTTATATTCCTGGCAATTTCTGCCTCTGCTCTGTCTCAATCTATAACACAGAAAATATGAATCACAGGACTGAATGACAAAGATCTAATCTTTTTCTACGGGTGGGACTTAATACATCACCCAAGTGATATGGACTTGGTTGTTTATAAAGCCATGTCAAAAAAGAAAGAAAGAAAGAAAAGAAAACACTAAAGCAACTAAATGCAGACAGCAAAAGGGAGGCAAACAAATGGCAGACAAATCATGTAAAATTACTCAATGTTTTATGAAAAGAGTAAACAAAGTGTGGGCCCTGGTATTCTTTCAGAGATGTGGAAAATGGAATTTTTGAATTAAAACAGAAGCTTTTATTTTATGACTTAGAGGACTGCATCTGTTATATATGGTGGTGGCCCAGCAGGAAACATCCAAGGATTAGGCTCGGCCCCCACGGTTCAGCTTTCTGTTCTGCTCACAGACCACAGAGGCCATATCTGGTGGTGGCAACTGTGACTTGCAGGGCAGGAAGCCGAAACGGCTTGGGCAAAAACCTTCTCTGTGGGAACTGCACAACAACACAGCATCGCCCCAGAGAAAGGGAGGCGCTTGTGAAGCTGCTGTCCAACACATTGAACCATTACAGTAAAAAAAAAAAAAAAGACTATGCATATACATGAATCCTTATTTCTCTACAAGATATTAATGGGCTACAAATAACAATGAAAATAATGAAAGTCACCATAAAGGAGTACAATAATGTTTTGGGTAGCAACATGCAATAACAGAAATTAAACCGAGGACTTACTTATGTTAATATAAATAAAGCAGTTCTGTGTTGGCCCTTTAATATGAGGCACATTTCTGTTGTTAAAAATGGGTGTTTCTGTTTTTGTTTTAACTGAAAACCTCCCTTGTTCTACTTTTTAATTTGGGAATGGGGTGGCCCCAAGGATTCTGCTCCCCACTTAAACTATGGCAAATATGGTAGGAGGAGCAAGGTGAGTGGGCGGGGGGATTCGTGAATGCCGGTCACTGCACCCACTCCCATCTTTTGTTTTTTGTCCAGTTCTGGTGGCTGAAGTGGTGAAGTTTTACTTTCCAAAAATGGTGGAAATGCACAATTATGCACCAGCTAATTCTACTCAGCAGAAGCTCTCCAACTGGGGGCACCTCAACAGGTCAGTATCCTTGGCTGGGATTTGGAATTCAGCGTTGGTAAATTAACAGACAAAACATCTAGTAGGACGGTTTTTCTAGCTAGGATTTTAATTGCCAGGGTTGGGAGAGTAACAAATAATTACTGAATCTCGCAGCTGCTAGGTGAATGTACTGTAGATAGTGAAAAACATATTCCTTTGGGGACCTCTGTGTGGATTTCATCCTTTTCTGCTCCAGAATTGAGCAAATTTATCCCGTACATGTTAAAATATCCCCCAAACTTTATATAAGCTCTCTATAGATAACCATTCATGGCCAGGAATCAAAGTCCTGGAAGCCAGCATGCTAAGCTCCTGGGCCCTGTCCCCCAAAGGGCCCCAATCCAAAGGCCTCGGTGTGCAGGGAGGGCTCTGCGGAGGTACCAGCTTGCCTGGGCAGAGCACTTTTCTTACAGGCCTTAATCTTTTTCTAGGAGAGTGCTGAGCAAACTGAACTTCTCTATCCCAGAAGACATTGTCCGGAAGATTGCCCAGTGCACTCCTGGGGTGGTGGAGCTGGTCTTGATTCCTTTGCGGCAGAAAATTGAGGAGAAGCAAAAGCAGGCTAAGATGTCCTCAAACTCCTATCAGGTCAGCAGAAAAGAGCAGAGCTTTTAAAAAGGAACTTGTCTGGCTACCTTTAGACCAGCGGGTTGGAGTGTTTGTGGTCATTCTACCGCCTGGGAAAAGCCACTGATTGTGCTGATCATTATCAGCGTGTTACCAGTGTGTTGTGGTGAATTCCAGGAGTTGTGTCTGAAAAGCTTTGGATTGGCCCCTTCAGGCTGATGAAGCAAATCTAAAAAGCTTGGTTTCTTTCTTTCTTTCTTTCTTTCTTTCTTTCTTTCTTTCTTTCTTTCTTTCTTTCTTTCTTTCTTTCTTTCTTTCTTTCTTTCTTTCTTTCTTTCTTCTTCTTCTTCTTCTTCTTCTTCTTCTTCTTCTTCTTCTTCTTCTTCTTCTTCTTCTTCTTCTTCTTCTTCTTCTTCTTCTTCTTCTTCTTCTTCTTCTTCTTCTTCGGTTTATAGACCTCTGTGTCTCCAGGGTTTGGGATGGGTGGTATTTCTTTGTTCCGCAGCACAAGCAGGCCTTGCTAAAGGTCCCTACCGTCCCTCTTTCCCAAAGTGAACTGAGGCTAAGAGGCAGCACCCTTCTGCCAAGCACCAAAAGCCCTTTGCTAAAGGCTCAATCCAGACAGCACCTCCACCATCGCTGTCTTCCATTATAATTTATATGCTGCTTTCCATGCTGTGTGCTCAAAACAGCTTACAGCACCACAGAGCACCAGAAATGCAGATCAATATGAGATTGCAACAATACATTGCAAGAACTCAAACATTTCATTAATACTAACGCTATAGGTTTCCACCACAAAACAGACAATAGCAACCCCTATTCAGTTAATAGTGTTAATCATGCTTGATACGTATGCTGTGCCTGCCTGTCATATTTATCATCATTAAAATTCTGGAATCAGTATCCAAAGAAGGAAACTCTAACAATTGTTCCTTGTTTCTGTCTTAAAATGATTTGGTTCTTTGTTTGGAAAGTCCAGTTGAAATGGACTAGACGCTGATCCACCCGATTGAACTAAGAGCTGTCTGCACAGAGTCATCCCTGTCAGTTAGCAGTTTGGTTTGAAGAACTGATCCAGGCTATTTATTGAGTGTTGAAATATCCCCAGTAAATTTACTTCATCCATCTGTTGATGCCCCGAAGTGGCCAGGAGCCACATTTGGCAAGGAGGAATCGACTGCATTTTGGATGTGTGAATTGCAGAGAACAAGGTTGAGACCTAGGTGGTTGTGTTCAGCAAGGGGTCATCATCCTTCCTTCTACAAGGGGGCAGGGGACCCAGCTACCCAGCTTCTATCACCCCTGCAAGCCAAGGGTGTCAGTGGTCAACCTGCCTCGGTGCTTTTTTTTTTCCAGCTGCAAAAGCGACAAAGACTCTTGTGATAAAGACTCGCAAATTTTATCGTAGTACAAGCTTTGGGAGGCAATGTTTGCTACTTTATCAGATTTGCGAAATGCTACTTCAGTTGCAAGCTGTATACGCAAAATTATAAAGGCGAAGTTTATAGAAATTAGGATCAGATTTAGCTGCAATGTAAAAATGTACAAGAAGCTTACCCTTTAGAAGTGGTTTCAGTCTGCAAATGTTAGCCCAGGTGATCATGACCAACAATGCCTTCCATGTTGAAAGATGTCTTCTTAGGAAGAAGGCTCATCTAGAACCCTTTCCCTCAAAGTTTGGTCTTCTTTGTTCCGGGAGGTACTGAACAAAGGGAGAATACAGGGAGAATACAGGGGTGCCTTGACTTACGAACGTCCTGACATACGACCATTTCGGGTTACGACCAGCTCCGGCTGCAAAATTTTGTTTTGACTTGTGGCTGGAGCTTTGAGTTTCAACAACAACAACAAAAAAGGCGGGGGGGGGGGAAGGCGGGGAGTTCAAATTGCTAAGCATTGGTGGTGAAGAGGCTGCTTCTTTGTAGCTCTTTCGCCCCAGCGATTAGAGAGTGTGCGATTGGAGGAGGCTTCGGACTGCCTGGTAAGGTAAGGTGCTGCTTTCTGCTTTTAAAAAACTGTTCTGGGTGGGTTTTGCAGTGTGGTTTTGGGCCGGAATGGATTACAGTAATTGCATTTCAAGGCATTCCTATGGGAAATGGTGCTCCGACCTGCAACCATTTCGAGTTATGACCAGAGTTCCGGAACCAATTAAGTTCGTAAGTTGAGGCACCACTATAATCCAGAACTAATTGAAGAGGAATGATCAAGACGAGTTAGAACAACCTCATGGGCTTGAGGTCAAGCCAGCATTAGATCCACAACAGTAAAAGCTGCTCCAGGATTTAGGTGGAGTGGGGTGTGCTCCCGTGCCCTTTTTAAGGAGAAGACACCCACACGGGCCCACAAGTTGATGCAAAGTTGCTGGAACTTTTTTCATGCCTCCCTCCCTCTGTCTTCCTTCTGCTTCTTTTCAGGGCCGTCCACCAACCCCTGTAGGCTCCTGCAGCCTCTGCTCCTTTCCGACTCCGTTGCCCCAGGTTCCATTTCTCTTTCGCCTCTCTTCTTTTGCCTGCCTGGAAGTCTGCTTGGCTCCTTTTGCTCAGCCTGAATGAAAGCCATGCGCCCAGAGCGGGGCTAGAATTGCCAGACCTTACTCAGCCTTCAAGTACCCCACCACTTAAAAGGATCGTCTGTTGTTCTAAATGGTAGCAGCAACACACCAGTATAATGCCAAAAGCCCACTGGGTTGCTACTGATTGAGGCTACCTTTGGTCATTGGCGGGAGCATGTGACTTCTTCACATTGCATACGAGTCACATGCATCTGAAAATTGCCTCTAATGAGTGGCAATTCCCCCCCCCCCAGTGATGATATCCTTGCCATTGTGCACACAAAGCTGCACAACAGGATTTCAGCTACCATGTTGATTTCAGGATACTGTGGCTTGTAGAATCTGAAAGGGCCAGCTTCCACAGAGGGAAGATATGTGACCACTAGCAGGGTTCTAGTCACCCTGTCTTCTATCACAACAGCCTTCTATTTTTGTCAAAGAATGGTGGTGAACAAGATGGAAGATGCAGCGAAAAATGACCCCCCCCAATAAATACATTTTTAAAAAAGTCACATATGTGAATAATGAAGACATCTATTTAAACCCAAATTTTTCATAATTTGCATGAATAGATTTCATTCAAATAAATATTTTTCCCTAAGCAAGTCCTCATTATTGGCCTGTTACCTTGTGTGACCCCTCCCTTCTCTGTGTTTAGAACAAGACTGTTGCAGAGGGCAAAAAGTGGGGCTCAAAAGCAAGGGTTGTCCTTATTACTGTAAGGAGAGGGTCTTTGACCCTTCAGCCATGCAGGGGCAAAGGTGACTTCTCCCATTCTGTACTGCAGTGCTAAGGAAATGTTACCCCATCTTCCAAGCTCTTAAAGGGTCAGGGATTCTTCCAGGGCTGTGCAAAGGAGGGCTCGCTCAATGCCTGCAGCCCCTTTATCTACAGCGATGGAGGCGGGCAATTTTATTTATTTATTTACAGTGGGGTCTTGACTTAAGAACGGCTTGAGTTAAGAACATTTTGACTTAAGAACCGCTCTCATAGGATAATATTGACTTGACTTACATACTTAGATTTGAGTTAAGAACTGACAAAAAACCACGTGGGAGGCAGGGAAAGTGCAAAAAGTGAACTTTCAGTTAACTGTTGGCCAGTGAAAAGGGCGCCTGTCTGCTTCCTCACTCCTCCCAGCGTTTAGAGAGTGGATTGGGAGACAGTCTTCGGACTGCCTGGTACTGTCCTGGCTGGACTGTATGTTCCCTGCCTTCCCTGAACCTTTCTTGACCTAAGAAAAAAAGAAACAAAATATCCCCCTCTAGTGGTCGAAGGCGGAATAGCAGCTTCCCATTAGTTTCTATGGACGGAAAAGAGCAGATACAGATCAAATGGTTTTCAATGCATTCCTATGGGAAATGCAGATTTGACCTGAGAACTCTTTGACTTGAGAACCGCCTTCCAATACGGATTAAGTTCTCAAGTCAAGACCCCACTGTATTTGATTTTTACCCCGCCCCTCTAGACCATGTCTACTTGCGTCTGCATCCCTGAAGGTCATCTGAGCTGAGCCTTCACTCTGGCAGTCTCTCTTTGGGGACTTAAGCAGCTGGAGACCCCATACGTAGGGCTTCTGTCCACAATGATTTTTAAAGATGATCCTGCTTTTCCCTCCATGCCAAGTTTTGTAATGCCCAGCCTGATGAAGAATTCTGGAGACTTCTCCACCACTTGGTCCCTGATACTGTGCTGACCGAATAAAGGAATTTCCCAACTCTGCCCTTTGGCTTTACTCCTGGACCGTGTGGCTCAGGTTCAGTTTCATCCATCCTGGCTAAAGTCAGGTCACCCGGACCTCCAGGTAGGGCCTGGGAGCTGTCCTGAGTGCTGAAGTTTTCCATGTCTGTTGCTGGCGATAGCTGGGGAAATGGGGGCAAGATAACCCAGGAATGCAGGAGATGTGATCAGACTGCGAAAGTCTCTCTCTCTCTCTCCCCCCCCCCAATTACGAACAGCAAAGAATCCTGCTAACACCTTTAGCAAGTGTTATCTGTTATAAGCCTTCACAGACTGCAGCCCAATGTGTCAGATGGACATTTGTATTCTCAAAGACTTTCATGGTGGGGATCCGATGGTTGTTGTGGGTTTTTCGGGCTCTTTGGCCGTGTTCTGAAGGCTGTTCTTCCTGATGTTTGGCCAGTCTCTGTGGCTGGCATCTTCAGAGGACAGCACTCTGTGCTCATAAATGAATGAATGGAAGGAGTGCTGTCCTCTGAAGATGCCCATGGCCACAGAGACTGGTGAAACGTTAGGAAGAACAACCTTCAGAACATGGCCAAACAGCCCGGAAAACCTATGACAACCATCAGATGCACATTTCTTCAGAAGAATTTTAGATTTTGATTCCCAGAATCCCCCAGCAAGCCTGGCTGGTGGCCAAACTGGCTGGGGCATTCTGGGATCTCAGCAATCTCACTCCGCAGTACTTTTTGCCTGCCTTTGAGTCAAGCAGAGATTTACTGGCCATTGATCAGGAAAGCTTTCAATGCAGGAGGTCTTGGGATGGCTGTATGTTTGTGTTTGTGTGTGCACGTGCATATGCATTGTAAGTATGGAGTGTGTTCCAGCTCTCTCATTGTCAGCCTGAACACAGATGGGAGGCATCTCTTCAGAATTCAGGTCCCCGGAGTTAGCTGCTTTTGAAAGACCCCTGCTTTTGAAAACCTGATCTGGCAGTCCTAAGTTGGCTTTCCTTTGGTCTCTTCAGCTGCACTTTGCTATGGAGAGGTACTTTCTGGCTTTCCCTCCTCCACTGTCAGCCCTTTCCAGCTTGTCCCCACACTCCAAGAGAGACTTTTGAGATCCCCAGGTTCCATGCAGAAAGCATGGGAATTCTGAGGGACCGTAAATGTGCTTACATGCTGGGGTTTTTTGTTTTTTTTTTGCTAGAGCAAATAAAAATGAAGTTTGTTTCCAAGTCTCCTGAAGAGGCTGATGGTACAATCCCAAGTAATGGGTTCAAGTTGTAAGGGGGAAGATTTTGCCCAAATGCTGGAAAAAACGTCTTGGCAGTAAGAGGTGTTTGACAGTGGAAAGGATTGCCTTGGAGGGTGGTGGGTTCTCCCTCCTTCATTGAGCCTTTCTAAATGGATGGCAGAGGGCCACCTGCAAGTGATGCTTTGGCTGTGGATTTCCTTCTTCATTGGGTGGTTGGACTCTATGATGCTTGGGGTTCCTTCCAGCTCGGCAAGTATGCTAGCCTATGGTGGCCCCCTGTCTATGGGGGGACTTGCTTCTCAATGGCTTGCCAGGCTACCAAGCCAGTTTCCCTTGTTGTTCTCCCCTCGTCCCTGCCTCAGCAGAATGCCTGCCCTGTCAAAAGGCTGCCACCGTTCCAGTGTCTCCTACCCACCTGAGTGCCTGCTCCGAAGCAAATCAGCAACCAAGCAGGGCACGGGTGGCTTTTCTGAGGCCAGCGATGACAGTCTAGTGGCATTAAGCGCAAGGGGGAGCCCTTTCCATGGAAGAAGTGAGTAGCCAAGAGCAACAAAGCAGTTCCATCTGACATATAAACACACTTTCTTATGTAACCCTCAACACAGGAGCTGGGATTGCGCTCAACCCTGGAAGAGAGCAACTACTTGGATACAGGTAGGCCCAGCAAGCAGAATGTTCTGGGAGTTCCCCTGCAGTGGGATGGGTCCTGGGTTCATGGTCTGGATGTCTCGATGCCCAGTGCTGAACAGAGCAACGGCCCTCTCAGAAAATCACGAACAGGAGAGGAATGCTAGGCTCCGATCTTGGTTCTAGGCTTTTCTGCTTTTCAGAAGGAATACTGCCTCTGACTGTGAATGGCGGTGGGAGCAATTTAGCCGCCATAAAGTGAATGACTATTAACTGTATAACTATCCACCTTCAGAACACGGCCAAAGAGCCCAAAAAACCCACAACAACTATCCACCTTCTCTTCCATTATATGTTTTTTATTTATGTTGTGCGTTTGTGAGAATGGCTGATGGTCGGATTCCAAAAGATCTCCTGTATGGAGAATTAGTGCAAGGAAAACACCCCAGAGGAAGACCCCAGCTGTGATATAAGGATATCTGCAAGTGGGATCTGAAGGCCTTAGGAATGGACCTCAACAGATGGGAAACTTTGATATCCGAGTGTTCAGTCTGGAGGCAGGCGTTGCATCACGGCCTCTCCCAATTTGAAGAGACCGTTGTCCAGCAGGCCGAGGCAAAGAGGCAGTCCGAAAGCCAGCCAAATCAGGGAGCTGGACAGGGGACAGATTGTATTTGTCTTCAGCGTGGAAGGGATGGTCCCTCTCGAATTGGCCTTCTCAGCCACACTAGACGCTGTTCCAAGTCCTCGATACAGAGCACGTTACTATCGTCTCTCGAGACTGAAGGATGCCTAATCTAATGTGCGTTTGTAGTCTGTCATTCAGCCAAAAAGCCTCCTGGAGGAGTTTGCAAAGCAGATAACAGCATAAACTTCATCAGTTTCTCTAACCTGTTTTTAAAGCCATTTCATCTTGTGACCTAGGTCACCTTATGGGGCAGTGGTTTCTACAGCGGGCAGAGGGCGAATCCTCTTTCTTCCTCCAAACCACAAGTTATCAAGTCAAGTGAGATCAGGGTTCCTCCTGGTTCTCCCAACCGTCTCGCTGCTCAGTTTCTCTCCACACTGTTCAGAATTTTGCACTGTGTTTTCGCATTGAGACGCCCCATCCTCTTTTCTAAGCTAAAACGTTCCCAATGTTTGCCATAATGAAGGTGCTTTTCTTCAGAACATTGATGCTCTCTTTGAGATGGGGCAGCCCAAACTGCTCAGCCTACCGCCTCCTCCCATGTTTTAATTGTTGAAAGATTCTGTAGCCAGAACCCAAGCCTGTTCCGGCCACCGGAGGGGAAGGTGGAGCCCTGTGATGTCTTGTGGCGGCTGTCGCTACGATACCCTAATGCCTGATGGCAGGTTTCCATGTTATCTTTCCACAAGGAAACGAGCAGCCAATACCGTGCTTTCTGTTCTCTGTTGCAACCTTTTTCTGGGCTGTGGTTGTTTTTCATTGATGCTGCAGCTCTGCTGTTTAGCCCTGCCACCCTTTGAGAGCATTTGCTCTCCACTTGTGCATTTGACCCAAACGGACAGACAATGAGTGGTCTCCATTCATCATAGGCATCCTTCAGTCTTGAGAGACTGTGGTAACATGCTCTGAATCGAGGAGTGTCCTCTCCAGAGCATGAAGCCCGGGTAAGGTAATAAGGAGGATAGGCTGTTACCCAAGCAGCAGATCCCCCCTCTCCACGTTGCTGAAATGGTCCAATGGAAAGGCAAGAGCCAATACAACTGGTTCCAGTAACATCGCAGGAGTTGTCAGAACGAAACGAACTGCCTTCGGGACTCCAGCTCCGGATTTTGCCTCTAGGTTAACTCCTGAATCCTTTTCCATCAGTGGATATAGCCACAAGGCAGTGGAGGTTTGAAATTGGAGGTCTCCATTATGTAGAGAAAAATGTGGTTTTCTACTTTCTCTGGGTAAAGACTTCCATTCTTGGTGGAATGTGTGTGATCCTGGAATAGGTTTGCTGGGGGAAACTCTAAATAGCATTGCCACCATCTTCCTCCTCCCCCCCCCCCCGAGATTTATGAGTAACAGCTTGGTGTATATAGAACTTTTCTCTTTAAGAGACAAACTTAAAGAACAACTCCCCTTCCTGTCTAAATGGAAGTGGCTTCCTGAGAGACTCAACTAGAAGTTAGTCTACTTTGTGCAGTGAATTTGTGTTTTTTTGTTGCTCTGTTTGGTTTTGCAGAGTTAAGTTTTATAAAGTCTCATCCATTATGTTTACTAAAGGCAGATGTCCTTTCCATTAAATTGCTGAGTAAAGACAGACTTTCTCTTCCCAGCAATAATGCCACGGTATTCCTGCATCTCATAATCAGGGAAATTCCCGAGAGGGGGACACAGAGAGAAACTTCCAGTTTAAAGCAAAAATGGATGGCTGAAGCAAGAAGCAAAGAAAAGGTTTTACACACAGAGATCACCCTCCCTCTTCTGTTTGCAAAACATGGGAGCGTTGAGGCAGCCCTTTTGTATCTTAACACCCAACAAAACTAAAGACAAGTTGTGAACTTTACTCTTATTTCACTATTTGTGTGTGTGTGTGTGGATTGAGCTCTAGCTGAATCTCATTGCTTTTGGGGTGGTTTATAAATTCTTCCATAACCTTTTGCTTTAAACTAAGTTCTCAATCTCTCTCTCTCTCTCTCTCTCTCTCTCTCTCTGTGACCCTTGTCCAGGAAGTAGAAAGCATTTGCACCCAATGCTCTCTGTCTATCTCATAGCTCACCTGCAAAGCTGTGGAAGCTTTTCACTCCAGGCCAGTCTCCAGTCCCAGAGATGAAGGCGGAGCCTTTTGGGTTTTTGACACTAACTAAAGCTTCTTACAGGTTATAGCTCAAGACTCCCCAGAGAGGGGTGACATCCGGAAGAAATAGCCACTGTGCGAATTGTCCAGTTAAAAATTGCATCATGATGGCATTGCCATCTCAAACATGAGTGCAGAATGGGAGGCCACAGAGGATGCAAACCATGTTTCCACAACAGAAGAGCCTCTGGAATAGTCTTGAATTGCCCCCACCCCACCCGCTCATTGCTGGAGGAGGATTTGAATTGGTGGGGGAAATAAATCGTAGCCAATGGAGAATTCTGGATAAAGGAGGCCCTGAATCCTTGTTCAATTCTCACTTTTTTATGAGTTGTCAAAGGTAGGATTGGAGGTTCAACTTGCCTCTCCTTCATGTTGCTCCTCTGTTTTCTTCTTCTTGTTGTTTTGTAGTCCATACTTCCAAGTCCAAACCCAACAGCACCGGGACGAATAACCAGGAACCCCTTGGATCCGAAAGGTAAGGTTTTGAATTAGCAGCAGGATGGATTACTCTGTGTAAAGCCCACAGGTGCTTATTAGTCTAATAGATGTTTGAGTGCCAGGCAGCGTCTCCCTGGACAGGAACATGCTGCGGCTGAGATGGCAGGCCAGGGGAGCAGCGGCCTTGTAGTCTCTGAATGCCTCACTCCTGGTCCTTCCTGCCTTGGGACCCTTGTTGAATTGGTGGCTGCCCTACCCCCTGAGGTCATCTGCCGTGGGGCCGCTGCAGCACAAGCTAAGGACAGGCCAGGAGCGCCATCTCTTGATAAGCGGCTGTAGAACCCAGCTTGCTGGGGGGGGGGCAATGTGTAGCCTGCATAATTAACTTGTAAACCACCCAGAGTGTGCTTGAAGCACTATGGGGCGGTATATAAGCAGCACGATTTGCTTTGCTTTTTAGTAAGCAGGGCAGGGGACTTGCTGCCAAAATCTGGGTCTCAAGTCTCCCAAGCCTTTATGGAACTGCTGAATTAAAGTTTGCGAGTGTTTGAGTCCCATGTGCTGTGTGCTGTGGAGGTTCATCCCCACTCAGACCACGCACTACAGCCTCCCAGCAGAGGGAGAACTGGGAGGGCAAGGAGCTAACAGTGGGGCAGGAAGTGTCTGGAGGGAAAGGCCAAGAAACAAAGGCACTTGGCAAGTGGGGGGAGAGGTGGTGTGGGTTTCCCAGCAGCATTAGAGCAAAACAATAGCACCCCCCTTGCTCATTCTGGAACAGAGCCTTGGTAAGGATGATGTAAGAGAGCAAGGGGAGCCTGCAAGACCAAACAGAGGGAAGAGGTCATGGATTGGGAACGAGCCCTCCAGGGATGGTGGTGGAGGGGCCAGGAGAGGAACTGGGTTCGCCAGCATGTATGCCATCGGAGGAAGGTGACCTGTTGTGGCTGTAGTCATGGTCTGGGGTACGGGAGGGTAAATTCCATGTCTCCATGCAAGCCATAATTAATACATGAAATTCTGTACCAAAAGCAGTTATGATATCCAGCACTGTGAAAAATATCTGTGGAAAAGGTTTAGACCCGTGCTCTCCCAGCTTCGTGCTGTCCAAATGAGGTGGGCTGCAACTCCCAGAACCTCCCAGTCAGCTCAGATTTTGGAAGGCTGGTGCAGACCAATGCATGGAAGAGGAGATGTCTGTCAGGGGCTTCTAGTAAGCGAAGTAGAGGGTCTGTGTTTGGAATCGGTCTGCTTCTGCATAGTGGGTGCTGGGGAGGAAGAACAGGAAGGGAGGAGGGCTTTGCATTTAGACCACATTGGTGGGTTGAGGTGGAGAGGCATCCGTTTGGGACCAGTTTGCAATCTCCAGAATGTTGCTCCTTCTGCAGGGGGGTGAAGGGACAGCCAGGCTACATGATGCCTCTCCAGACGGATGCCAATCTGCGCCTCCACTTGGCTGAACGGGAGCAAGCTCTACTGGTATCCCAAGAGACGATTCAGGTGAGGGCTGCCCACCTTCTGTCTGAGACTCAGCTGTGTTCCTCCCCCCCCCACCACTTACCTTTGGACTCTGCCCTGTTTGGTCACCCTGCAGCCTTTGTGTCAGACACATCTTATTTCCTCCCAGGATAGCCGTTCAGGGGAAGGTGCTTATATAGGGTGGCCTTTTTTTGGGACGGGAAACTACTGGTGCCTTTTGGAAATGAACAGGTTGAGCAGAACACAAATGTTTACCGGTAAATAAGAAGCTAAAATCAGGATCTCTAGGGGATTTCTATCCATGTAAGTGTGAGTAATCTTCCAAAGAGTGCCTGGTCTTTTGCTCAAAGCAAGGGATGGGAGAACTTGTGGCCCTCCAGACCCTGTTGAACTACACCCCCAATCATTTTCATCATCATCATCACACTGCCAGGGCTGATAAGAGTTCTCATTCAGCAGCATCTGGAGGGCCACCTCTTCCTCTCTGGGTCAAAGGCTTCTTTTGTCAGCCAAAATCCTCTCAGAAGCCTCCAGCAGAATACAGAGCATTTTGGCCCCCTCTTCTTCCATTGGGATTGGAAAGTTGTATATTTTAGCCCCCACACAAAGTCAGGTGATTCCCGGGGCTCAACATTCCCAACACTCATCCAAGACTATGAGTTAGTCTTGGCCTTCTTGTCCACCACTCTACAGACTCCACAGAAACGTGGGGAGAAAGCCATGCTACATGACCAAGAAGCATTTTTAGAAGACAGGATCAGGAATCCTACTAGGAATTCACGATGTAAATGTAACTGCCTTGTAAATCACAGGGCAAACAGCTGCTTAAGTAATAACTTGCTGCTCTTATTCCTGGCCACACGTCTGCCCTTTGATTTGCTGTGCAACCAAGAATGGAACCAGCAACTCTTTAATTAGTGGCAAACTGCCCTTAGGATTTATGCAATTGCAGTTAATCTCCAGTCGGATTCTGCTCCATAAACAGTCTGTTCCCTGCTCATGTGGCCTCCGTCTCTGGCTCTTGACCTGACTCTGAGACAAAATTAGTTAAGGCAGTATCAGAAGCTACTTGCCACACAGCAGTAATGGATTCCCTGCCACGATGGACTCTTACGTTCCTCACTTCTTTCCCAGTGCCCTTTCCCCTCTCCACCTGGAGCAGCTCAAACTGGCTGGTGCCCCTTAGCAAATCATTGCTCGGTGTGCCTTTCTTTACCTTAGATCCTCCAGATGAAAATTCGCAGGCTGGAACACCTCCTGCACCTGAAGAACGTGCGGATTGATGACCTCTCTCGGCGCCTTCAGCAGGCAGAGCAGAAGAAAAAATGAATGGGTCTAACTCAGGTCTCTCCCAGTTTTGAATCCCTAGCCCAGACGACGATGCCAAAATGGCCAGGCCTTTTCCTCCTCCAGGCAGCTCTCTCTTCCCCTGCAGGCAGATGCCTCCAAGCTCTGGGGTGGGGCCCCCGAGATGTTGAAACCAAGACTGGTAAGGGATCCTCATTTTAAAGAATAAGCCATATATCTCTCAAGTTTAGCTAAAGCCCCAGTTCTGACACAGGGAGAAAAAAAATTCGACCTGGTTGAATTCTACACCCGAGGCTGATATCCAGGAGAGACCTGAAGCCGGCCCCAGGAGGAGGAGGAGCCCTGGTGCTCCAGGCCCCCTGGACCAAATCAGGCAGATGCCCCGTCTGTGCATGGTCTCCCCAGAGCAGACCCCCTCAGGAGAAATTGCTCCAGTGGGAGTTGTTTCTTTTTTCCTGGGTGGTCCTTGGTGGTCCGTGGGCCTAGGGAGTGTGAGCGAAAAAAACACTCCTCGTAGTTTTCGTCCAACTTAGGCAAGGCATAGCATCTGTTTAAGGCTCAGCCGTTGGCAGGTGCCATCTCTGCTGGGTTGGAAGGCTGGAAAGCAAGTCTGTCCTCTTGGACCATGGCCAATCCTGTCTTCCAAGGAGCAAGGCTGGTTTCTGTGTTGGACACCTGTGATGGGCCCGGTAGGGGTACTCCTGGGAAGAGCCTCCCTAGATGTGTGTCTCTTTGGAGCAACGGGGCAACCTGGTTCCAGTCTCCTCTTTCTGTAGCTTGGAGAAGGGTTCTGAGTGTGCTTGCACCCAGTGACTGCAGACATGGAGCTCCCTTTGACTTAGGGGCTGCGTTGGATCTTGCATTATGGTGGGGGTGGGGGTGGGAGAGGCACACTTCCACAAACGGGAGAGCGGCCCGTTACCCGTATGCTCGTGGGAGTTTCATGAGCTGTACAGAGGTGTTGGGAGGTTGAGCAGCATTTATCCTAGGTGTTTCTGCATCTGGACAGATCCACCCCACAGCAGCGTCCATTAGTGGTGACAGCTCTTTGGAGACCTACGGGCCAAAGTGGACTTTGGCCTGTTGGCCAACGTAAGCCAAGCTAGCACAGCTGCTCTTACCTGGTATGGCTCGGTTGCAGTGGCCCTCCAAGGCCTGGGTTTGAAATAACAGTCCTGCTTTTTTGCTTGAGAAGAACATTCAAACAATTCCTTATCTTAACAAAGAGAAGTCTTTGTTGTTAACTTTGGAGGAATTATTCCTAGTCCTTCTGACTGGTGCTCTTGGAGCATTACAGGCCCTGCTTGGATCCTGCGATCCCGACTCTCCTGTCTCTGAATACTGTACAGTATGTCAGTGACCATCTTACTGGGATGGAGGAGAATTCGGCACTTTCTGTGTAACTGTCATCCCTCGACCTCTGGCTTTTCTGCTGTGGATGGTGCAGGTGGGGGAAGAGATTGCTTTCCTCAGGGCACAGCTCGCAAGCTTCTGTGGGGAAATCTGTGACACTGGGGCAGAACACATTTGAGAGTGCTCTGTGGATGCCCCCCCCAACCCCCGTTCTGTCGTCTAGCTGAGGGTGCTCATTGGAAGCCAATATGTAATTCCTTTGTTCCTCCTCCATCCTTTAAAATCAGGACCAGGTTTAGAGAAAAAGAGTTTATCTTGAGTTTGGAGAAAATCAGCTGGGATTTATCATCAAGTTTTTTTTCTAATTTTTTGGTGGGGGGAGGGTATGAGATTTCAGCATGTGCAGGGATATAAAAAGTAGTGGAGGAATAGATTTTTTTGTCTTTTCATTGCAAAGAGAGGCAAACTTTGCTGAAATTTTGAATTGTCACTTGTAGTAGAATTAGCCGAGCTGTAATGATCTCTGGTGGCTTGCTAGATGCAGCTAGATTGGCTTCCAGGGTATACCTCTGTGTAATATTTCTATAGAGTCTTTTATACTCTGCCTTAGAGATTACAGTTCCTGTCCTGCAGACCCGTGTAGACATTTTTTATTGCAAGCCCCACTTTTGTGCCTTTACAGACAATATAGGGAGTTCATACAAAGTTTGGCGTGAGCTTTGTTGTGGAAGATTCTGAAGTTGCCAGGTGGATAGTTAATGTGACTGACTCCTATGTGGCTTAACCCTCTGTCTGTTTGATGTGGATCTCAGGATTTTCTGTGAGCCCTTTCCAAGTGGCCTTGCAGCTGCATTGTGGGAGTGTAAGCCCGACTCAAACCCGACTTCCCTGGCTCTTTAGAAGGTGGCTGGGAGGGGACCCTTTCCCTAGTCCTTGAGCAGAGGCATCTAGGGCCATTTAAAAATGAGGTGAAGTTGACATGTACTCATGGTGCTTTTGGGGTGCTCTAAATGCTCTGAGCTCTGACGTATAGCCTACCACCCCAGGGGCTGCCGATGGTGGCTCTCCAAGGCTGCTACTGCATTCCTGTAAGCAAACATAACATACAGGACTGGTGACAAAAGAGATGTGGCCAATCACGGGCCATCCCATGAGAGAGAGAGAGAGAGAGAGAGAGAGAGAGCGAGTGCAGCTGCTCCCACATCTGCTCAAAACCATCATTCATCCTGACCGAGAGCCATCTTTCAGTGGTGTTTCAGGATGTGTCACCTAGGACCTGGCCACGTGTTAGAGCAAGCTTGAGACACAGGGGGAAATGAGCCCGCGTTTCCCCTCTTGCTGGCTTCTGCAAATGCAAAAATGATTGCATGGATGAGTGGATCCCTTCCGTTGGAGCCGTCGTGCCAACGGGTTGCTCTTAATCAATCTCTTTTCAGTTCTGGTGATGCTAATGGTGCATTTGGGTAATGCTGGGTCTTGGTGTAAGCAGAGCCGAGCACAGGTTCCCGTGGGATCTTGTGGCTTCATTGTTGTCGGGCTATTTAGTGCTTAGTTCAGCATTCGAGATTTTGTTCCTCTTTCCTCTCTTTTCTCTGTCTCACCCTTGCGGTGAGAACCCCAAAATATTGTTTTGCTTTTTTTTTTTTTGGTAAAATAAATAGCAAGACCTTTGCTGGTCATCATGTCTACTCAAATCATCCTTTCCAAACTAACTGGAGTGTTTTGGGAGTTGTGCTCCAGATGTAAGTTTTCCCGGCCTTACAGTATGTTTGCTTTTCCCACTCTAAATTGTAGTGTACATTTACCGATTGTGCAACAAGGCAATGTCTTTTCTAGCACTCTGAGTAACGCTGATGAGGTTCTCTCTCTCTTTTTGGTATGGAACTGCACATCATAAAAATGAAAGATATTAAGAAAGAGTTTGTGCGTGCTTGTTTTTTTAAAAAAATAGAAATACCCACTCCCATCAGTTTCTCTCCCTCCTCTTTGCCTCCAGAGTCTCTGCCTCTAGGAAACCAGCTGGAAGACATTTCAGGCAGACCGAAGTTGCTCTGAGGAGACCAACATTGTGTCCCCCCAGCAGCTACTGTCACATTGCAGATGAGAGAGCCAAGTCAGGCTTGGCACTTGTGAAGAAGGGGCAACTTTCTGCCTATCAAACTTGTTATAAAATAGAAGCAGCTCCATGCAGCACCTCTCCTCAGGCCATGGACCTTGGAGGACTGGGCCCATGACCCCCTACTTATGCAAAAAAAATCTTAATTCTTGTAGTGTCACTGGGGGCAGGGCACAAAAATTACATTAATTTGGCTGTTGACTGCTCAAAACACATCAAATTTCCCCCTTAGAGGGCACCAGGGCACTTTTTGCACCAAAAATGTTCTTCCTAGGTACCAGAATTCTTTTCAATAGACCGGTGGCGGTTCTGAAGGGTTGTCTGCAGGGCTCCGGTGGTCGCTTGTAGGCTCTCTGTTGCTTGCCCCTTGTCCAGTCAATGAGTTTGATGGGTGTAGGTCTGATGCACTGTAACGATTCTCCCTCCATCTCTCACGCTCACCGCTGAGAACTAAGAGGTCTTTTGTCCAATTAAATCGGCCACACCTGCTATGCTCTTGAGATCCTCTGATCCAGATTGGGGGGAGGATGGGGCATTTGGGAGGTCTTGGTGTCGCTCATCCCCTGTTCTTTGGCACACCTGTCCCAGAAACAACAGGCTGGTTGCAATACCGCCTTCAGAGTTTTCCATCCTGTTGCACAATTCAAGGAGATGTTCCTTGCGGAGGGCAGGACTGATGTTTGACAGTTGTATCAGGTTGGTAGCAAAGAGATCCTCTCTGCAATCATTTGGGGCAGAATCCAGACCTCCATTGCTTGCCTTCCAGTTTGGAGTTTGGGTGGAAGAGTGTGGGATTGGGAATCCACAGGGGCCAAGTAACTCGAAAAGCAGATTCTTTGGTAGAGATCCTTCAGCGGTAGCATCCTGCACAGGTGAGATGAAGACACGGAATATGCAGGAGCTTGTACACCAGCCGCTCCCAAGCTGACATCCTCCAGTTGTGGGTGGGTCACTGTTCCATCATCTCCACCTTGTGTGCCTGGCTGTGAGGGACTGGGGTTGATGGGACCTGCACTCTTGACACGTTTGATAGATGGAAGGTTTGGGAAGACTGACGCAGAGCGGGTGCATGGGTTGTGCAGTTGATGTTCTCCAGCAAAGTTGGGCCCTCTTTGGATGGTTTGTCTGCGATGACCGGCGCAGTAAGAGAACCAAATAAGAAAGGACCCTCCCCTCGCTCTCTTTTCCTTTGGGGAAGATATAAAGAGTGGAATTCCGTTAATTCCTGTGTTTGTAGTGCATGCTTTCAGCTCACTGCTTGAACTTTCTCTCCCTGACCCAATGGAATTGTTCCCGTTTCTGAATCACGCAATGCATGCCCGTTCGTCCGTTCCTGGGGCCAAACTTGAGAGAATTTCCCTCAAGGTCAAGTTCCCACCCCCTGGAGCCCAAGACCACGTGAGGCTTCAAGTCCCCCGGAAAGAGAAGTATGACTCAGAGGGTGACCCGTTAACCAATGCCTGTAAGCACACACAGGTCTTGAAGGGGCTCAAGAGACCATGATGATGGAGGAAGAAGCAGGTCATGGGGTCAGGAGTGGGGGGGGGAATAACATTTTGTAGTTATTTAAAGGGCAAAGTCCGGCCCCCTTTCCAGATGTGGTGAGGCCGGTTCCCATAACCTCCAGCATAGCAGAGCCGGCTGGGGATTCTGGGACCTGGAGTTGAGGATTCCAACCGGGGGAAGGCTTGCCAGGCTGTTCTCAAGCCCAACAAGGAAATCCTGGATGAGCGGAAAAAATGAAAGTCTGCCTCGTCGGCCAGGAAAACAAGGTGACAGGGAGCAGCAGATCACACAGACTAGTTATCGGCTTTCCGTGCTGTTCACTGTTGACTTGGGAAGGGGGAAAAAATCTTGTCTCTCTCCCTCTCAAATGTAAAGAAAGCCTGAGCATTCACAACGACAACAACAAAAAACTAGATTTGATGGCATACATCATCTCTAGAGACTTGGTGGGTCACTGACCCGCACTTGGTTTTCTTCCATTCCTGTCCTTCGGGGGATGGAGGAAATCAGCCCCGCGTTTGTGTAACCCTCCCCTCCCCCCTGCAGCACTTGGGATTTAGAAGGCTGGAAAGACAGTGGCCATTGAACTCAACTTCTCTGTAGAGTCTGGGGAGCGAGTCTTCTGGGTTTCATTAACAGAAACCACACCTTTTGGTCCATTATGTTCCTATTCCATTTTCCCACTCCTCAGTCTTCTTGACCCATAATTGAGGCACTGGTTTAGCATTTGTTAAGTATTTGTTGTTCCAAAATTATCTCAGTAACATATTCTCCGCTTCTCTGTATTTTCATTCTCTGATACTTGACAATCAAGGTGTGTACATTTTTAAATTTATTCCAAAGTAAAAGATTTCCCCCCAACACATGTTCTCTCTCTCTCTCTTTTTGCCCCTGGGAATAGAACCATATCTATTTTTGGTAAGCCAAATGCTGCTGGCAATTACGTGCATTTTTGACCTAATTAATTGAATGGCTGCAATTGGTGTCCTTTGACTTTGCCATGAAAGAAAGCAGCCATGGGGATGTGATACAGAATTCTCTACACTCGGTTTGGGGTTTTGCTGAATGGCACCTTTGCCTGAAGGGGATTCTTGCCCTCTGCCCTTGCAACTCTCAGAGAGCCCTAGACGTCATGTGCTTGACTCTTCCTCAGCCTAATGCTTTCCAAATGGACCGCAACTCCTACAACACCCAGCCAGCACATCTGGCAGGCTGGGGAAGATGGGAGATGTAGTCCTGCTGCACCTCTGGCTGAGGACGGCTGTACTGTGTCACATCATCTTGCCCCATGTTTTAGGTCCTGTGGTCTCGTGAGCCCCCGGGGTGACAGGTTGGTGAAATCCACCCTCTCCCTTCTTGCGTCCATGAAGACAGAGGGGGACCCTACTTTGGCAGAAAAGGCAGAGGACCAAGACTGAAAACTAAAGGGACCCCTCTGGGCTGCAGATCAGCATCAACCTCCCATTCCTTGGCAGAGGAGAGGGGCTGCTGAGGCTCCAGAGACCTCTGGGGCTCGGGAGAAGCAGATCACTCTTGGATGCCTCCATGAGATAGCAACGTTCTTGGCAAAGATGAAGGAGGCCAGTGGGAAAAGATACCTACATTTGCCTAATTCTCTCTTCTTCTTCTTCTTCTTCTTCTTCTACTTCTTCTTCTTCTTCTTCTTCTTCGTCTTCTCCCCCCCTCCTCCTCCTCTTTCTCCTTCTTCTCCTTCTTCTCCTCCTCCTCCTTCTCTATTACTTCTTGGGTGTGTTGGTGTTAAATTTAACAACCACTTCTACTGGGAAAAACTGGCTGCCACCAACTCTTTGTGCTGGGGTAGCTACAATCTTTTCTAATCTGTTGCTCTGCATCCACACTGCACCCATAATGTCCTTTACTGTACCCCAGGTGACAATGGGAGGGCATCAGGCTGGTGAAGCCTGGTAGGCAGTCTCAATGTTTGTAATCATGTGAAACCCACATTTGCTTCAGATACAGTCAGGAAAGGAAACCAGCCACGCTTGCTTCTTATCTGCAGAGCAAAGCTGTTCCGCCATGGAATAAAGATGATGACTGACCCAAGAATAAAACCCAAGCTGTGCCAAGGCTAGAGGCAGGCAGCTGCCCACGGGACACCCAAATTTGCCTTTGTACATTCCTGTTCTTCCGTAAAGCTTCCTCGCCAGGTTCGTTTACTTATTTATTTGAGCAGGTACTGTAGTTCTAGCCTTCTGGCCTATCCACACCCTGAGATAAACATTGGAGTGGTAAACAGCTTTACAGTGGGAGATGATGACATGCATTCCTTGATGGTCTGGTGTGTCCATGTGAGGGATGTAAGCAGGCCTTGATCATGTGCGCATGGGATGTCCCCCGCTGCAGAACATGCTGTTCCTGCCCTACAATAACCCCTTAATGTCTCATTGTTTTCTTCCATTCATTCCATGCACTTCATCTAACTCCTGGTCTATTTGGACAGTTTTCTTTATGGGACTAATAATAATAACCTGAGAACTGGAAGGACCCTATGGGTCATCAAGTTTGAATTCTGTCCACAAGGCACATTGGGGGAATCGAACTCCCAACCTTTGGCTCTGCAGCCAGGTGCCTTAAGGCACTGAGTTGCCCAAGAGTTCAGCTAGCCAGCAAGCCAGACTTCCTATCAAGGGTCCATGCACAGACCTCTGATTGGAAACGTCCTGGTTTACCCCGTTTGTCCTAGTCTTAACTCTAGTATGGGCTCCCATGTGAAGTATCCACAAGCTCAGGTATGAAGAGGGATGAAGGCTGAACTCCCCAGATGACCCCTGCAATGCCATGTCCAGTTTCAAAAGTCACCAAGGCTTTCTCGCTTACCCATATATCCTGCACTCCAGTCCTCTGTCTAGCTAATTTATTTTATTTCCATTTGTTTGGACGGGCATAAGGGTTTCCTGGCTATGCAGAGTCTTGCACAGGCTGCTACATCCCCCCCCCCGCTGTTCCACCCAGAAGGCAAATCTGAAATGGTGTATTTACCTAGTATGATTAAACGAGAGAGAAGTTGGGAAGAGAACCCAGGAATGTTTAAATGGCCCAACCAAAGCACAACCTTTTTGAAGTCCCAGTTGTCATGGGAACCTCATTATAGCCACCAGCAGAACATTTATCCGTCTGCAGCAAGAAGCGAGCGACATCCGAGAGATAAGGGCTTGAATCTCGAGATACTGCTGCCTTCCCCCCCCCCCCCCCCGGTCTGTGTGGACGCAAGCCCTTTCTTGGTTTGCCTTCTGACGTGGGTTCCTCAACAGCAAAGGAACAAAAGAGCTTGAGTTTGGCGGTGGCTGATCTGTGACATGATCGATCAGGGGCACATCTGTATATTAGGGGTCGCCTCCCTCCTATCCCAGAACACACTGCCCAGAAGGATGCCCACTGATTTCAGCCCTCGGGATCAAAAGGATCAAAAGTGTGTGTGGGGGGGCGCTGTTATACATGGGGACATCTTATAAACAGAAAAACGTGGTAAGTGCAGGGTGCAGTGGTTAAAATTCTGCAGTGCTTCTGTTAAAATTCTGCTCATCACCTGAATTCAATCTGACAGGCTCAGCTAGCTGGTTTAAGGTGCACTCAGCCTTTCATCCAACTGTGGCCAGGCAGCCTCTGGACCCTGGAGGTTGCCTGGCCACAGTTATGGATTGGGCAAGGGCTAAGAGGTTGAAACTGTATCCAGATCAGACAGAAGTCCTGCTGTTAGCTCAGTTGGCAAATCAAGTACTCAGCTCATGGGTGTGTTGGAGGGCAAAGTGTTGTTGAAATAATTATGTTGTAAACCACCAGATAGTGCTATAGCTGTTATGGGGGTGGTATACAAGCAGCCCACTTTTCTTTACTTTGCTTTCCACATTTTAGGGAAATTCGGAGGCATTTAGGCTCGTATCTTATTCCTGATTTCTGCTTGAGTATGTCTTGCTAACCCGTGGCAGGCACATGCAACTTGCTGCCAAGAAAGGTATGATTTCCTTTAGAAGCAGCCATAGGATTCTGACTGCCATAGGCACCGATCAGGGCTGGTAGCCACTAGTTAGCTTCCCTTCCATGAATTTGTGTAACCCTCCTTTCATGTCATGCCGCTGGTGGTAGAAACCTCCATCATTCAACTAAGCACTGCGTTCTAGTCTGCCAAGTTTTGGAGTCAAAACAACTTGACCGTTACTGGAACGTGAGTGATCACATTCTTGTTAAAAAAATCCTCCTATCTCCTTCTCTCTTCTGTTTCTACTTGTATAATCAGAACACAAGTGAGCAGCTGGCATCAGGGTGTACTTTCCACAACTAAATGGCAAGATGACTCAGATAAGTAACAGAGTTTTGCTACTTCGTTGTAATCAACATTCAATTAAGAGGCTTGTAAAATATTGCTTTTGAAACATTAGCAAGGAAAATGCTTTTCCAACAGCCATCACTAAAGAGTTCCCAAATATAGAGCTCTCTTTGTTTTCATTCCAACTTCTAGACAAAACCATATATGTCCCAGATAAAGAGTTTTTGAAGCCTGTAATCTCCTAGGATCTTTGTTTATTAGAGTGAGCAAATAGTCTATGGCTAAGACAGAAAATTTGGTTTTGTCTGACTGTCTTTTTCACATTTACCCCTAACAACTGACGTGCCCAGTTCAAATTCTTCAGTGGCCTGGGGCTGCCTTCTGTGGTGAACATCTGCCATCTGAAGGGCCACAGCATCCAGTGCAAGCCAAGCTGTGGTGGCCAACTCATCCCGTCCTCCCATGCTGTGCCAGATTTGTGGGCAGAATGTCCCATGGTTACAGGGATAAATCAGGGGGTTGTCAAGGGCTGTTCTCCTGCTGGAAGGAAGAGGGCTGACTGGCCAGAATGGGGTGTTGGAGACATGCACAGTACTGCGTAGAAACTGGGGTTGGCCCCATTGTTTGGGCAGAGGACCACTAACCATCATTCATGGGGCTAGCAAATGCGCTCTGAGTTTTAGTCTGAGCTTTATAACAGCTATCCAAGGTCCTGAGAACTGCTCCCCCCCCAAAAAAAATAAGTTCAGCACCTTGGAGAACGCCTTTAAAGTTCACACTTAAAAAACTCAAAGAGTAGCTTCAAGGTCCCTGTGAAATCCTTCGCCAACCTCGACCAGTTGTATTGAGACCTTGCAAAGGAAAACCTTGGGTAACAGACAGCCAGGAGTTGGTTTCTGCCTTGAGGAACCTTTTAGCTTCCGGGTCATTCAGAGTTTACTGTCAACAATATGGTGATGACACACAACTCTATCTCTCCTCCTCAACGGTGGAAGCTGTCTGGACCCTGGAGGTTGCCTGGCCTCAGTTATGGACTGGGCAAAGGCTACGAGGTTGAAACTGTATCCAGATCAGATGGAGGTCCTGCTGTCAGAGGTCTTAATGGGGTCACACTTCCTCTGAAGGATCAGGTGTGTAATCTGGATGTGCTGCTGGACCCAGCCCTCTCAAAGGAGAACCAGAACTCAGGTGTGGCTGCTTTTTACCTGCTGAGGTGGATCGCACATCTTCACTCCTATCTCGACAGGAAGTTTAGAACTATGCTCAATACCAAGTTACTCGTGTGGGCTCTACTTTTCTGAATTGCAGCCCACGAACCTTCCCAGGTGTATCTTTTTCCCCCTTTCTCACCCTGCTGTTCCTGCAACACCATTAATCTTTCAACAACAGCAGCCGACAGCTGTTGATCCCAGCACACAGATGGTTTAATGGAGTCCAGACGGCACTTAAGAGACTTAGGCTTTTTTCCCCTGGAGGTCCTCTGTTTGACACCTTTCTATCCCAGCTGGAAGAAAAGCCAGTTTTAGACACAAAGTGACACTCACAGCCATTTGCTAGGGAGCCTTTTTGTTCCACTGTGTCACAATCACTTCTCCCTAAAGAGATAATGATCTGGTGCGAGGAGTCACTTTGGATGCAAAACTACCACTTTTAGTAGCTGAGTTAGGTCCTTTAAGCCTCAAAAGTGCATAGCCCTTTGCTCCATGGACAAGCTCGACCTTGAAAGAACGCTTGCTTGCTATCAAAGCAATAAACCATTGATTGTGTGCTTCCTTAGACAGCACAACAGACTGGCCAGGTAGGACCTCTCAATGAGCAATGAGTGACCTCCTCCTCTGGATTTAGGTGCCATCCTGTTGTTCAAGAGACAAGTCCTTCAGTTGAGAATAATTGTTTTATTAAGAAAATGAAGTAGTTTCATTAGAATACAGTTGTAGCATTAAAGGGCATAAAGCATCCAGCAGTTACTATGATTAAATAAGTTTACTATTCTTAGGTAAAATAAGAACGAGAACTAAGCTAAGGAATCATCTTTGCTCTCTCTACATATTAGCAAGGTAAAATAAGAACAAGAAGAACTAAGCTAAGTAATCATCTTTGCTCTCTCTACATATTAGTATCTAGAGAAGCTGGTCTCTTTCTCCCCCCCCCCCTTCTTCTAAAAGACAAACCTCACATTCCAGGACATCCACCAGCCATCCGTCACATACATGAACAACAGTCTCACGAGAACATTTCAGTGCTTTCAAACCCATCTTACACAGAACCTCACAGACTTCATCTTTATATGACTACAAGTCCCAATTTCCTTCTATTTCCTCATACACTGCATCCATGGAATATGGTCTTCTGGTTTTCTAGCAGGCCGCAGAGCCAGGGCTGAATGACATAGGAGAAGTGGAGTACAGAAATAAGACACCACGGATGAAATTCTGTTGCTCAGCTTAGCAAGTGGCAACTTGAGTAGGCCCATTGAATCAATGGAGCTTACAGAACTGGTGCCCTAAATACCCACTGATTCAGGGAGCCTGCTGTAGTTGTGGCTGCCTACGTAGGTGAAGCAAGAGGATTTCCGCCATGGCTTGACATGGTTGTGGCCTTAAGTCCAGGCCTTTTGAATGACCACGTCTTCCCCTACGAACCACCCTCAGTCTCTGGGATTTTCAGGGGAAGCCATTAGTCCCACTCTCTTTGAGGGGAGGTTTTAGGGTGTCCCGGGAGAGGGCCTTCTCAGTGTCTTGTCTCAGGCTCTGACACCCCCTCCCACAAGAGACGAGGTTGCCTCCCTTTCTTGCTGTCCTTTGACTGGTAGGCAAAACCCAGGGTGCAAAGGCATTCCCCAACTCTAACTAGAAGAGACCTGTTGAATCAATAAAGCACACCCACGTGTTACTTGACCCCCCCCCTAGATTCAGTGGGCTTCCTTCCTCTAACAGTGAGCTTCGGACCCTTTATGCTCTGCCTTTCTGCAAGTGCTTATGTTTATAAGGAAAGAGCTTTTAGATGTAATGTGCTGTTGGACCTCTTTTTCTTTTAAATGGATATGTTTCGAATGGTTTTTAAGTCAGTAACGTTATGCTTCATAGAATGGCTTTGTTGTGAGCTGCTCTGGATTCCAGTATGGGAGAAAGACAAGGAGAGGTTTCTGGTCTTCTGGTTGTAGCCTTGCAATCCCCAGTTTCGGGAGCACCGACCCTCCTGCTCCTTAGCCGGCCTTCCCTGCATTAGGTTTCCTCCTAATTTCTGCGCCCCCTTTTCCCACCCATCGGAGCGGAAGGCCGGCGCTGATCCTGGTCTTAGGGAGCGCGGCCGTGGATGGCGAAAGGGAAGCCGCCCCAGGTTTTACTCCAAACTTTGCATTCATTTTATTCTGTTTTATGTTGTTCTTAGCCAGAGGTTCAGCACCTTCGACAGCTCTCGTGCAAGGACGGGGCTAAAAAGGACGCGGAGCTTCCCGGGAATAACTTGGGTCGAGCGCCCCGGATCCCCCCATCACGGCCGGTGATGGATGGGCAACCGGTGCAGGCCTTACTCTTAAGGGATCGCGCCAGTTGGGGTCCAGAAAAAGGAAAGAAAAAAGAAAAAGGGGGGGCGGGGAGCTTCCCTCCAGGCGGGCTCCGCTCGGCTCGGCTCCGCTCCGCTCGTGCAAAACTCCCGCGCGCTCCGCCTCCCTTGCAAATTCTCCTCCGCCTCCGCCCCCTTCCCATTGGCTGAGGCTCAGGGCTGGGCCACGCCCCTTCCTAGGGCTTCGCCCCGCTCCAGAAAAAGGAAAGAAAAAAGAAAAAGGGGGGGCGGGGAGCTTCCCTCCAGGCGGGCTCCGCTCGGCTCGGCTCCGCTCCGCTCGTGCAAAACTCCCGCGCGCTCCGCCTCCCTTGCAAATTCTCCTCCGCCTCCGCCCCCTTCCCATTGGCTGAGGCTCAGGGCTGGGCCACGCCCCTTCCTAGGGCTTCGCCCCGCCTCTCCTTTTCCTCCCGGCGCG